GTGTGTGTGTGTGTGTGTGTGTGTGTGTGTGTGTGTGTGTGTGTGTGTTAGAGCTCCAACACAAATCAGGATTGGGTCATTACATCCTGAAATGTATGGAGTGAGCGTCTGATTCCTCTGTGCAGCTTCTGCCAGTAGAACTAACCCTCCGACAGGCCAGCAGATGGTCTTCCTCAGGATCCGGCTCCTGGGGGGTATGGATGCTGACAGAAAACAGCCAAGATTAGACCGAGCAGAGCTTTTCTCAAGGTGCTTCTGCTGCCAGATGGCAGAAAAAAAGATTTTTGACCCACAGCACAAAATAAGTCAGGTGGAAGGGCAGAGCCCTGAGATATTTAAAAATAAACACACTGCTCCAACAGTATGTGTTGGAAATGACCCAGCTTCAATCACACTACATTTTAGCTCAATAAAACTGACTGAATTGTAGCAATTTGTGCGTTTGCTGTGGCAGCCATCTTGGATTAGTTAAAATGTTAGTTAAAATGTTATTCAGTTGTACACCCAATGATATTTTCCAGAGAGTTTAATTAAAACAGAACAAATGATTATTTTGCTTGTTGGTCACCCTCCATTCCAGTAGGCGGCGCTAACGCCATTTCCTGTCAGGTTCCTACGACGAACATTTGAACCGCAGAAGAAGAAAATGTAAACAGTAAACTGCGGGTCGTTGTCCTCCTGCATAGACCTATTTCAACATGTCTGGACTGAAGTTCTGTGCGAACCTTTCCTGGCTCTTCACCGAGCTGCCGGACTTCAGCCAGAGGATCTCCGCGGCCGCTGCTGCTGGCTTTCAGGCTGTGGAAGCCGGCTGGCTTTACGACTCCGACCTGGCGGAGCTCCAGAGAGCCAGAGAGGCTGCAGGAGTGGAGCTGGTCCTCATCAACACCCCGCCTGGTACAGTACAGGGTTTTAACACCCAGAGTAGTGGTTTTGACTCTGTCTGTTAGCAAAATATCCAGTGAAGCGCTGCACAGGTTTTAAAGAAACTCCTAGAAAAGTTATCATTAGCTGAACACCTACAACTGAGTAACTTTTGGAGTCAACCCAATCAAAGATGGCCGCCACAGCTGAGTGACATCAAACATAATTAGTAATTCCGTCATATTTACAGATATTGACCTGCAATTTAGTCTGGTAGTAGCTGAGACTGATCTTAACTCACATTTTGAGTGCTAACAAACTGGGCAAGATAATTTGTTTTAAAGTTTGCGTTTTACTCTTGGAAGTCAGCTGTTAGCAAAATATCTCATCAACCACTGGACAGAATGAAACCTTCAGAAAGTGATCTGTTGATGTGCATGATTTACACTGAGTCAGTATGATTCAGGCTGGCCACCACAATACTAGAAATGACTCAGTCAGTTTCACAGATATGAAGCTAAACTCTGTTGCGGTAGCTGAGAGTCATTCACAGCACACTCTGAGCAGTGTTTCCCCTAGGAAACTGGTCTTGGGAGGGAGGGGGCTACTTGTTTTATAAAAACATAAATTTACGTGACTCACCTGCAATTATGGAAATAAATTTACACATACATGAATATTTAATTGCCTAACTACATCCTAAAGTTAAGGACTCCTCATGATAATTATCAATAAAATGA